TCTCTCTCTCTCTCTCTCTCTCTCTCTCTCTCTCTCTCTCTCTCTCTCTCTCTCTCTCTCTCTCTCTCTGTCTCTCTCTCTCTCTCTGTCTCTCTCTCTCTCTCCCTCTGTGTGTGTGTGTTTCCGCACATTTGTATTCAGCATAACTTCATAATGCCTTTATGGATTATGATGATATTTGGTATGCTGGTAAGTCTCAGGAAGACAAAGGTCAACGTCGAATATGGGCCTCCTGCCTCCTGGTGGATGACCTTGGTACTGCAGCAGAACTTCCGGTTTTTGTATCTTTTGTCCTGGACATGCTATGGTCTTGATGTTTTGGTGACAGATAGATTTTCCTGTCAGGAATAAGTGGTGTAAGTTTTATCCCCCTAGCAGCTTGTTCTGGAACTGCAGGTTAGTTTCTGGTAAAAACTTTTAAAGCGGATATGTCAAGACAGGAACAACGTAGTTTCATCATTTTTGGTGTACAGGTAGCTTATAGAGAGATGAACATAATTAAATAAAAATTATTATTATCCCACTTTGTCCTTGTCTTTGTATTGTTTAATAAGTATTTTCCTTGTCTTTGTATTGTTTGATAAATATATTGTCTTCAATAAAAAAAAACAAAAAGACGAAGATACAGGGCGTTTCACATGTAGGCATCTCGTGCTGGGGCAACAAACATTGAAACTCCTTCATATTATTGTCTACGAGTTTGACCACCCCCACTGGTGCAGTGGACCGGTCCGTCATGCGTCATCCAATTAGTTGTTGCGATGTTACGTCTGAGAGAGTAAATGTCATTCAAGGCACTGATTTGACCTTCAGTCAGTTCTTCGTTTGTAATCAATAGCCGATGTGCACCAGGGGTGCCAAAGTATACAGTGCAATTTTACGGAATACAATGCAATTTTAAGGAATACAGTGCAACTTTTACTAGTATACAGTGCAACTTTTACTAGTATACAGTGCAATTTTACGGAAAACAATACAATCGTATTTAGTATACAGTGCAATTTTACGGAATACAGTGCAACTTTTACTAGTATACAGTGCAATTTTACGGAACACAATACAATCGTATTTAGTATACAGTGCAATTTTACGGAATACAGTGCAATCGTATTAGTATACAGTGCAATTTTACTACTAGTATACAGTGTAATTTTATTAGTAAAATTGAACTATATACTAATACGATTGTACTGTATTCCGTATAAACATTGCACTGTATACTCTGGCACCCCTGTGTACGGAAAACGACAAAACCAACATATCAAACGCGTGGTGATATAGAACTACCTTGACTTTAAGATCAAGGTGTACGAGCTTTGACGTGAAACAGTTACAAGATGGGCTGGTATTTTAATCGAATCAATGAGGCAGTCAGCCAAAAGGCGTTTCCACAACCGCCGGTGTCAGAGGTTATCAGTGAATGTTGGAAACACAACATGGAACTCTGGAGGAATGCAAGCCATGTTCTTCTACAGTGGTGCTTTAACTATGTGTAAAAACAGGAGAGAGAGGGGGAGAGAGAGAACCAGAGAGGCAGAGAGAGAGAAAGAAAGAAACAGAAAGAAAGAGACAGAACTAGAGAGGGGCAAAGATGGAGAGAAAGAAAGGGAAAGAGGGAGAGAGAAAGAGAGACAGAGAGAGAACCAGAGGGGTGGAGACAGAGAGAGAAATAAAGAGAGACTCAGAGAGAAAGAGAGAGAGAGAGAGAGAGTCTCCACGCAGACGTATGGCCATGGGATAGATGAATGAAGATGATAACAACCCATATACACAGAGTCTAGCTGGAGGAGGGAAGGTACATTTTCGGTGGGGGCATGTTGGCTTGGAGCCGAGGAGCTGGCCTGTGAAGGCCCTGGAAACAGTCTGACTGTCTGACATCCAGTCTGGCTATCAAAAACCGAGAGAGGATAGATCTAACAAGAATTAGCCTGGGTTGCATCCGATTTGTAACGGCAACCCCGAAAAAAACGCGATGTTTCGGGGTTGCCCTTACAGATCTGATGGCACCCAGGGTAAACAAGAAATAAATAAAACACCTAATTACTCTCCAAGCAGAGGTTGTGGGGGAATGATCGTTAGCTTTTTATATATGGCGGTTGTTTTTTGTTTTTTCTTTTTTTTTTCTTTGTCGCTACGCCCACGATGTGGTCGGTGGCCGGTGTTCTAAACGGGGAACCAATATTTTAGAACACCGGCGACCTTCTCTGACCAATGGATATATACTGCCTGTGCCTGGCCAATTTGATACTGTCTTTTTGCCACCGAAAGGGATCTGCTTGGAGATTGTTGGCTTCTTCTTCGAGTCCGAAGCTAAAAGCTAAAACACCTTATTTTAGACTAACAAAATTTTGTTGACGCCGGGACTAAATTTTGTTATGTGTGTCAACTGGGAAGACAATATAGCCGCGGGTCAGCATTCCCCTGCATTCTACTGTTTATATAAATTCCAGCCCCACTGATAGTTTTGACAGCGTTATGTAAATTGTGCCGGCTGGAGATAGCATCAGGGCTGTCTACTGGTATTAAAACATCTGGAAAGACTACGCGTACGGAGACGATCATGATAGGCAATCCCTGTAACCTATAGCCTGGTTCGCAGACCCTTTTCGTAACGCGTATAGAGATGACCATGATATAGCCTCTACCAGGCTTCGGGAGAGGCAAATTGTTATCTCCAGCCGACCAAACTATACTGGCATGTTATCTCTCTATTTGGCCGATTTCTACTCTTTCCAGCCGCCTCCCGAAGCCTGGTAGAGGCTACATGATAGACAATACCTGTACTAAACAGATAGCCTGGATAGCAGACTCTTTGCAGGGCATGCACATGTCAGCTCCTCAGATCTAGCTATAGGGCCAAGGAAATTTTACCACGTTATTGCTGGCCATCCCCCAACCCCAAAAGTCTTCCCTCTAGGCTAACGTTATCAATTCGACGTTCAATGTCCAAGGATCTTTGGGGTGTTTCTTTCGCAAAAGTCACTGACACAGTTCTTGCAGCTCGGGCAGTGTACTACTATTTATAGTGCTACACGCATGCGGGTCACCTCGAATAAATCAAATCAAGAAGTGTCACCAGATGTTTTGTCCACAAGGGAACGAAAGACCAAAGGTACAAATTCAACAAAGCATACTGGGAAGAGCAACCCATAGTATCCTGTATGTGGACGAGTGTTTTGAACGCAGAGAAATAAGGTTTTGAACGATGAAAAATTGGGTTTTGAACGATGAAGAATTGGGTTTTGAACGTTGAAAAAATTGGGTTTTTAACGATGAAGAATTGGGGTTTAAATGGTGAAAATGGGTTTTGGACGGTGAAAAATGGGTTTTGAACGGTGAAAACTGACCCGATGAAGCCTTGTTGAACTTGTACCTTTGGTCTTTAGTACAAGAGGAGGATCGCAGATACCAGGCCTGGCAGATGCATGGTTGAGTCGCACGGATTTGTCACGGCAGCGCAGGCAATTAAACGGGCACGGAAATATGTGGTGACTTAAATCACTTCAACACAGTTTACAAATTGTCATATTATCAAATCAGGTCATGACGAATGTGATGCCACAGGCAACAGTGGAGCAACGTCACAGTAGACTCTACCACGCTTCGGGAAGCGAATGAAAAGAGAAAAAAATGGCTAAATAGACAGATGATATGCCAGGGGAGTTGGTCTTTGATCTACTTTATAATAGCGCTGGCCAACTCCCCTGGCATAATCTGTCTATTTGGCCAATTTCTACTCGTTTCAGCCGCTTTCCCGAAGCCTGCAGGTATAGGCTAACATCACAGACCCCCGGAACACGATATGTTGCAGATCTCAGGGAAAGATGCCAACGGCGATAAGCGAATATCTGAGTAAAAAGTGACCAACTTCAGTTAGAAAATGCAACATTTTAAAAGAAATCAGAAGCTGAACCGCGAGGCTTTCTCAACAACAACGACAACGACCCAAAAATCGTCTGCAGTCGTACTTTCTTGGACCACACCCATCCTCCTAGGTCACCCTACTGATCCTGATCAGCCCGGGGTTTACGACTTGCCCTGAAGGCGGGAGTGGATTTCCTGGTCGCTCGCTGTGACGGGAAACTTGTAGTCTCCACCAGACCGACAACGCGGGTTGAAAAATAGTAAAATATAGCCAAAAAGAGAGAATAAATTTGCCAGGAGAATTCGGTCACCGATGGCGAAATGTTATCCTTACCGCAACACACTCCCCTGGTCAACTTTAATATTGACCCCATTTTTGCCGAATTCTGCGATCTACAACACCTTGAAAGGCCTGGTGGAGGCTAGGAAACATGCGCGGTCCGACTTTTCAAAATGACAGGATATTGAAAGACTGTTTCCAGACGCTACAAGTTCTCCTTAGCAGCTAGCGCGCGCAGCACTCCAAAACTTAGACGGGAGCCTCAACTAGAACTCCAAACAAATAATCTACGGCTCTCTAACCCCAAGCTTGGAAACTGTACAGCGACAGCAGATTTTTGCGCCCTGGCAGACGCAGACGATATTTTCTTTCCGCTGATCCGCAAAATTCAGCCTGACAGCCTCTCCCCAGCGACAGTACGGTCAAGTCGTGTTATAGAACGGTCGATTCTTATTGGAAATACGTGGGATTTGTGCTAAACAGTACATAGGTATAGCGATCTCGGCGGGATAGCGATCACCCACACTCTTGCAGCAGTTGTACTTGTAGTGTAAGGGGCGGTAGTGGTATCAGAGAGAACAGTGTACTGTATACAAACATTAAAGAGCAAATGTCAAAGTCGTTGACTGAAAAGTTCACCTAGGTAGAAGAAAGGAAAAGAATCTTACTTACAGAAGAGGTCCGAAGGGTCGGTATGCACAAATCGCGAGTGGGGCACGCCTAGTTTTAGGGCGGGGGACACGGCGCGTCGAAAACAAGACCTGGCCAGAACTACGTGCGGTATTTAGTGCATGCAATGGGGACCATGTGTCCACCTAGGGTCAAACTAGGGCGGTCTGACAGATACCACCTGTGCACGGAGTTACAGGACGGAGCATGGAGGGCAACTCACCGGTTTTAGAAATCTTTCCTTGGAAGATGACAACCGACACACGGTGCGAGTAGCGGCCTGGTTTCTCCCTCTCTATCTGAGACTCTCGCCTGTTGGTTGTTATGAGAACCACATGACGTGGTGGCGCGTGGTAGTGGCTGAGAAAATCGTGCTGATACCATTTGCCCGCCTGGTGGGCCCCCAGGGCTCTGAACGGGGTTATTGGACCGCCTCTCTTGTTTGTGCCCGCACCGGGGGCCTCTACTGGGGTTCAATGTCGATTGACTCGATTCTGTAGTATAAAAGCGGGTCGGCGTGTAGCCTCTACCACGCTTCAGAAGCGGTACCAATTGTTAAAATACAATTATTAGAGAGACAACTGAACGAAGTGTAAACCGGCGCCAAGAGACCACGTCTAGCAAGATATTATAGAGAAGAAGTTTTTGGAACAAGGACAACGACAATGCGTGGGAGGACGAAAGAGATTAGTACTCAGCAGCTAAGATCGGTTCGGTAGCCAGCATAGACAAAATAGGAAGAAAACCTGACAAAAGGTCCGAAAACCTCTTCTCGGAGAACATCATGATCATGTACCTACCCATACCGGAGTGGGAGCTGTATAATATGCCATTCAACTGAAAATTATCCATAAATTAACGTAACCGACGACCTCTACCAGAAATAGGTCGATCTAATCAGGGATCTAATCTTCTCAAGCGGTTGTTTAGGTGGCCCAGGAAAACGATGATGAAAGCGCACATTATGTAATAGTTAGAGCACTGCTAGGTCCCCACAGCCAATAGGGATCCTGGATTTTTAGTGATTATATCCACATAGTAGCATACTTGTGAGTTAGTGCACCTCTCTCCCTTGGGGTAGAGGTGCACTGACTAACCAGCCACCCTCTTCTCAGCCAACCAGTGAGCTGGAATTGGTCCCTCTCTAGGGACAGAGGTGCTCTAACTAACCGAATAAATTACACTATGTTGGACCCGCCCATTGTTATTTCCATGGAAACAACAACTGGCCAATGGCAGTGTCCAGCTTTCTGCCCTGGGGAATCAGAGGAGACTGACCGGCTCATCACCACACATGGTTTGACTCTTCTTGGAGTTGTTTGGCTGTCCATCTGAGCTGATTAACGACCTAGCGGTCGTTAATCAGCCCAGATGGACAACCAAACAACTCCTCGAAACAAGACAAAAAGTGACACTAAACAAAGATTTATAAAGCAAAATCAAGTTCTAGTGGATGGAGTTGATCAACTTCGGGGACCTAGAAGTGCTCTAAGTTAGATAGAGCACGGTATGAGGCTGAATACTCGGATTTAGAACTGCCCGCCCAACCTCGGGGATTTCATGTCACCCTCGGCCTCCGGCCTCGGGAGACATGAAATCCCCTTGGTGGGCGGGGCAGTTCTAAATCCTCATAGTCAGCCTCAAACCGTGCTCTATCTATTACATCTGTGGTGTGATGCATGAGGGCCATCAATCACTGTCAGCTTCTCCTCCCCATGGCTGAGAGCCTTTCCCAAGTCTTCCATGCTCACTTTGTGTCCAGTGTGCTAAAATTGGATATGGCACCCAGGCTACTGTGTTGGTAGTCATGATAGTACAATGCTGAACTAATTCATATAGTCTGACATGAGAATAAGGTACTGTATCTGTATAAACTTACGCAGGTTTGTGTGGAAGTGAGTATTAAAG